GCTCAGGAACTGTTAGTGTGACAGAGCAGTCGTGGTAGCACAAAGAAGCACATCCCCACGACGTGGGACTGGGAACAACTCCGGGGCAGATCCTGTGTTTCCTAGATTCACACTCTGCAGTTAAACTGGTTCAAGCTGTACTTTGCCCCTTTCCTTGAAACCTCCATCACACAAACTCTTCGGCAGAGACCTCTGATGTTTGCAAAAGATTATTCACATTTTCTAATCAGTCAGCACTGTTTCTAGGAGGGAAGAAAGCACTTTTGCTTTATTGATTTCTTTTATTTTTTTTAAATAAAGCACTTTTTGGGAAAAAAAAAAATAATCAAAATCTATCAATAGCCTGCAGTAGCGTCCCACTGATCAGCCTGGGGACAGCGCTGCCACATCCCTCCCCCTCCTCCTTCCCCATCTTCCCCCCAATCTCCAAAAATACTATTTAATATATAGCAATAAACTCTGAGCAAGCCAGAGTCCCGGAAGACATGGACCTGCTTTCACCTCTCCTGTCCAGCCCAGCACCATTTCAATGCATTTGCTACTACACTCCTGGGACAAATCCGTTCAGATCCAAGGTGAAACACGTGCCGCAGCTCCGCTGGGCAGCGCGCAAAGCAGGGGTGCAGCACAGGAGGCCTATTAATGTCATCACGTTCCTGTGCCTTCACAGCTGCAGCTCGATGTTGTGTTTCTGCCACTGAGGACACTCGTCTGAGCCTACTCAGGACCAGCCAGTGAAGACAGACTGGTGGAACCAGGTTGACATTTAAAAAAAAAAGCATCCTTGAATTGTATGAGACTTTGGCATTTGTTGTGGAGATGCAGAAGCGCCAGCAGGTAAATTAGCTCAGTGTTGGCTCAGCTCCCATTTCCCTTGGATTCTCAGCAAGGATATTTCCCTCTCTGCCACATAAGTGCAAGAAGCAGACGGATTTCTCCCACATTGAGCACCAAACAGAGACTGAAACACTTGGTATTTCGCAGATGCTCAGAATCTGTCTCACAGCAAGGGCTGAAGCTGCTCTGCTGGTCCTCTCCCTCCTCCTGTTTTCCATCAAAGACAGGCCTGTTCAGTTCAGGATTCCCACACCAAGGCATTTCCCTGGCTGTTGCAACCCCATTTCAACTCCAGACAAAGGGACAAAGCACAGGCCTCTGCTCCCTGTTCAGACCCAAACTGTGCAGGGCAAGTGAATTTGGGGGGCAGGACCCCCAAGCCACACTCTTTACACAGAAGCTGTAAGCACCACACAACTCCTAGGACAACCCAGCTGTTGCTCACTCAGCTCTGAGCTGCACAGACACACAGGCACCAGACTGTCTGGAAGTTCTCCATCCTGCCTTCAGGAGGTTTCTGGGGAAGACCAGACCTGAAGGAGCTCTTCCAGTTCTTCTATTCCCTGCTAGGCTTTTTTCCTATTGACCTCAAGGGCTGGAACCAAAGATACAGGCTTGCAGTTCTCTGCTTCACCCGTAACCTCCAGAGCTGGCATCGAGGGACAGTGAGACAGTCCCCAGCTGATCACAAGGTCAGGGAATGCCTGTCCCTTGGGGAGAAAAGAGAAACAACTCAGAAGCTCCTTAAAAAAAAAAAGAAGCTTCTTCAAATAGACTTTCATTCAAAGCCTGAGAGGAAGGCACCAAAAAGAGACAGGAATTAATTTGGCTTTCTGCTCACTGCCACCTGGGATACTCAAAAGGGTCAGAGCTGTTGTTTTAGTCACACACACAGAAGGGGAAAATAGCCTGGCTTAAAGGTACAAAAGGAGGGGCTGATGAGGGGGCAATTAAAACAGGCTTTGGAACCATCACCCTGGGGCTGGATCCAGGCCCAAAACATGATCAACAGTATCCTCTCCCCTTCAACAGTGGAAGCTTTATTAAAATTGCCTTATCTGCCCCTCTCTACGCAATTGCTCCACGAATTGAGCCAGAGTCTGTTCTGACTCAGCTCCTCACACTGCTGCACAGAAAAACACACACTTGCTGGAAAGCAACTGGAGGCAACAAAGCACAAACAGGCTTGTCTCTAACCAGTCTCAGTTAAACAATACCTTAGGTATTCCCTCAAACACCTGGAAAGCTACAGCCAATTCAACCTTTTTCTTTCCCTGGTCAGGCTGGCAAGGGGAGTCGACCTGAGTACGCCATTCCCAGCGAGGTGCTGACTGGTTATCCCCTACCATCCTCCCACGCTCCTATACGGTTTGTTTGAAGGCTTCTTCTGAGGCAAACCTGTCAGGAAGAGATGGACCAACAAGGAAAGCCACTCATAGCACCGTAACAGGGTCAGGAACCCCCCAGTCACCCAGACACCAGGTTTGTAGCAACAAAAATGCATAAAACCAGAGCCAAAACAACTAAATTGAAGCCATGAAGGATGAACTTCCTATTCTTATTCAAATAAGACAAATTCATTTGAACCGAGCAACTGGAACACAACAGATCACACCTTGCACAGCTTTGCCTTAGGGTGGCTGACAGCACCAAACGGGTGCCCTGGCTGCCAGGAGAGGCAGGGATAAACTATCTCAGCAGACTTGCCTCTGACTTTTGCACTCCTAAATGCACACCCTTTCTCATGCTGGGCAAGGCGCAGAGATTACTGGGTGAGCCACAAGAAGCAGAGTCCTTGCTTCAAGGTTGCTCAAAGAAAACGCAACCTAAAAGGCCTGGAGGAGAACAGCTCCTTACAGAGAAGCTTGCTTTCAAGCCCAGGTTCTTTGCTTAACAAATCAGTCCAGTTCATGCTTCTCAAAACTGATAAAGATCTAAATATTTCCGTGCTCCAGTTAAAGCAACCCCCAAACCACTGGAGAATCTCTGCAGGCACCATCACCAAACAAAACAGAGCTTATTATGTTTTGTAAGTACTAGGATTTTAACAGCAGCTAGAAGACGAAGCAGACAACTTCAAGCTTACTGCCTTTTCATCCTAAGCTTTGTTCTAAAGATCTGCTCTCTCTAAAGCCTGTCTTCTGCTTCCAGTGTGGCAGAGACCCTCCTGCTTTTCCCAAACTGGCTGTTACCACTTGTGCAACTGGAGAGAAGGTAATTAAGGTCCTACTGCTTGCTTTTTAGCTCACAGACACAGAATTAAGGTCAGGCTTATAGCAGTGATGTATGCATCAGGATGCCAAGGTTCAGTGCCACTGCTGTGCAGAGCAGTGCTTCGACACCTCCCCCAGCTCCCGTTCTGGAGCTTGTGAGCTGACAGCTCACATCACAGCTTGGAGAAGGCTTCAGCTGCCTGGGCCCAGAAGAGCAGAAAGGCTGCTCCTCTGGTTTCCCTTCCAGAAACTACATAATTCTGCTGACCCTTCTCAGCTCAAAGAAAAGCTGAGCCACTGCAGGGGATCAAACCCAAGAACAACTGCTAGGAAAACTCCGGCCCAGGGAGAAGCAGTAACAAGGAGGACACCGCTCAGTGCCACTGCTCCGGGTAAAGAGAGCACTTCCATGAACAAGACAGACAGCGTGAGGTAGTGTTCTGCGAGCCCAGAGCTCACCAGCATTGATGCTGACTCGCAAGGACCCAACCCTGCCTGGGCCAGATCCTGCTCCAGCACACAGAACATCTCCCCCCCACCAGCCAGAAGTGCTCAACATGTCAGGAGGCCAAGACCGTGGGAAGGCAGCTCCTCGGGGCCTGCAGCTCCGGATCAGCAGGCGCAGCAAGGGCTTTTGCTCTGCTCAGCCTCTGTCAGGCAGGCACAGGCTCTGCATGTAGAAACAGAAGCATCTTGCAGAAATATCCCTGGGGGAAGCAGATGACCTTGTCTCCAGTGTTCTACTCACTTCCAGATCTCTGGAGGGGAACAAGCCACCTTGCTCTACAGGACTGAAATGTTGGACATCTGCCCCTTCACCACAGTGCCTCGACACGCAAAAGGCCAAGCTAACCCAAGACACTAACAATCCCACTGCACTTCTCACCACTTGCAGGCAGGCCTGGTCCCTAAAGCAGGGAAGGAGAGCTCCAAGGAGCATCCATGAGGTTGCTCCTCTCTATTGTATGGCACAGGCTGTTCACAGTCACGAGGCAGGGAGAGGAGCTAACTGTTAGGAAGGTCAAGGAACAAGTCTCCAGAACCTCCTCTCTAGGTCATCTGATTCTCAGCTTCTTCCAAAGGAGAGGTCACTTGCTAGAAAGGGCGAAACGAGGAACTGGGCTTAAAATGAAACCTTTGAAAAGAAAAGGATATTAAAAAGGAAACAAAAGCCATAATCAATACAGAAAACAAGTGCATCTGATCAGACGCCAACGTCGTCAGCCTCTTGCAGGCTACAGCAGAATCCCTCTGCGATGGATCTAACATTACAATTGCCAAACTAGGAAAGTCTCTCCCGACTGGTGCAGCAAATCAGGCCAGATAAATCCCTCTGCTCCTGGCGCAGCACGCACTCTTAGGAGGGGAACGTCTCCACAGAGGCTGAGCGGCTAGCTAGAGTCTTGGTATCTTTATGCAGGTGAGTACCATACATCGTGTTGCACACATTTAGGGAGATGCTGGGCCAGGCTCCATCCTCTGAAGTTGGTAATCACCCAACGGCACCACAACACTTCCACGCTCCCGGACAAAACGTGTATACCCAGGCCTGGTTTTAAGAGCACTTCCCTGCTCAAGGAACCGTACTCCACCCAGCAAAGGCAGAGATCTTGCAGCACACGGCTTTCCCTCAGTGTGGGATGTGGCCCAGGACTGGTAGCATCAGCTTCCAACAGCCCAATAAACAGACAGCCAGGACTCAGTTTACTCTTGGATGCCCCAGGGAGGATCAGAGGCTGCACATGGTGCGAAGGGGAAGGCAAGGGCCTTGCTGCTTGCTGGCAGGGGGAAGGTAAGCTCCCTCTTACCTGGACCTGCTATTCATTCCAGATGAATCTTTTTTTTTTTTTTCCCTTAAATTATGAACAATATGGAGAAATTGAAAGCAACCGTGTTTGGTCCAACTCCTTCCCTCCCAGCCCCTTGGCTGATGCTCTGTGGGGCTTGCTCTCATAATCGGCAGAGGCAGAAGAGGGTAGGAATGAAGACACCAAAGGCCACCAATATAGGAAACATGAGGCTGCTGTTGTCCGAGGCATAGGGGTTTGGTGTGCGTGGGCCTGACTGAACTCGGTTCTTATTTGCCTGTTTTTTAACACTGGAGCCATCATCATACTCATCTTCATCATCATCTTCCTCTTTTTTCTCCAGACCTGGGTGTGGTTGCAGCTTTGGAACATCTGTTGGACAAAACAAAAGGTTGCAAGGAGGCAGGATGTAACCTGGGAAACCACCAGAGTCACTCCCTTCCCCTCTCCCCAGTCCAGCACGGACACAGGCAACAGGGCACCTGACACCACACCACCACAGCCAGAGCACCCCAGGAAACAGGAGCATCCTCCCTCACAGAGACTCACACCACTATTTCTTTCCTCCATAATGCAAGAGCATCTAAAGGCCCAGTCTGCAAAGAAACAACATCCCTCCACTCCATCTGCGGGTCACACAGGAGAAGTTACAGCACAAAAGCCCAGTTACAGCATAAACAGTCAGCTACTGCAGCTGCTCCGTGAGATCTAGTCAAGAACCTGCTTGGATCAGCAGACACAGGTGCAAACCGGAGAGGACATAACCCTTTCTACAAACGGTCCTACCTCACATCACTGCACCCCCAACCCAGACCTATCAGGGCAGCACAGCCCAGCCCCACTCAAATCCAGCCCTCTGAGCCTGGAGCCTGAATTGCAGCTCCCCCGCACAGCAAGGTGCCACCTGGCCACCAGGTTTCGCACCAAATCTTCAGCAGCACTTGGCAACACCTGACCAGTAGTAAACTGGTGCTTTTGTCAGAGAGGGGTCCTAAGCCTCTCCTGCTCAGGAGCTAAAGGGGCTCTGACCCCAACACACTTACAAAGAGAGTGACAAAAGAACAAGGACTTTACTAGCACTCCACACTGCTATCCAGAGGAACTGACACCTGGGAAAATACACTGCTTTGTCCTCAAGCCGAGAAGGCAAAACAAAGCTCCAGGTAAAAAACACTTAACTACCAGTTAAAAGATCTCCCTAAGTTACTTGTCTGCAGGGCTGCTGCTGACATCCAAGCCCAGAGGGAATTTATCTGTAGCTATAAGCTAAGACTGACCAGACGTGTTCCCTTCTCCTCTACCCCACATGCAGGAAGTCCCGAACAAAACTGATTTTTCTTATTCGAAAAACAACATAACTTTGTGCATTTGGAGGAGTGGGACCACACTACACACCTACTTCATTCTGCAACTGCACTCTCTGGGACCTTGCCGAGAGAGAAACAGTTTTGGCAGAGGTGGGTCAGCAAGAGCTATGATCTCATGGTCTGAGAAGCAACAGGCTGCTCTCCAAGGG